GAAGATAGGAATCTCATTAATTGGAAATATAAAGAAATGAATTTTTTTCTTCTTCTTCTGCATGAGGAATCCTAGTTTATCTTTCCGGTGCTTAGGAAGGTGTTTTTCATTGCCAAGACCATAATTTTTCATTTCTTTTCTCAATCAATCATAAGCAGAAGAGAGTATTTTCGAAGTCACCAGAAGCGCCATTCACTCTTACATAGGATTTCGTTTTAGTTCACAAACGCCATCCAGAGCATCATCATAGATAAGAGATAAGATATAAGAGATAAGGACTACCATGAATTATATTACAAAAACTCAAACAAAACGGTGTATCCATATCACCATCAGACCGAAAACATAAAATACTTTATCCACACTGATTTGGCTAAATGATCTACGAAGAAGTTAGCCTCTCTGAGTCTCTCAAAATTTACACAGATATCACCACACCAATCATCTGCTTTAAAACATCTTATCTCATTGAAAACGCACCATTTATCCATGGCCTGTCAGTATCCAGCATAAATTTTATTGCAGCAACCAGCTTCTCAAGTGAGAACTCCTCAACAAGGATGGGTGCAGGACCTACTCCTCTGGAATGCACTCTCTCCCCCATAATTTTTTCCTTGTATGGATATTCAAACTAGTATACTTTTTATAATCCAATCACGTGGAGGTTTGTATCTGTTAAACTGTCATCGCCATCAAAAAGGGAAAAGTATTGTTAATGCAGCATCCAGGAGTAAAGATTCTACTTCAACTGCCCAAACGTTCTTCATTTATTGTTTTTGAGTGATTCTTTGCTTTTGCTCAACAAAAAGTAAAAAAGTACCACGGGCTTTTTGCCTTTTTAGGTTACTGGTTTAAAGTAGCAAAACATAATTTGCTCATATGGAGTCAAGGGCAGATGCAGAAGTTGTTAACTTTGGAAAATCTATCATAGTTCCTAGTGTTCAGGAGTTGACTAAGGAGCCGATCACCAAAATCCCACATAGATATCTGCGCCCAGAGCAGGAACCTCACTCTGTCCTAGGTGATGAGCTGCTTCCATCCGTCCCAATCATCGATCTTCAGAAATTAGCTGCTGGGAATTTTGTGGACTCTGAACTGGAAAAGTTACACTCTGCTTGCAAGGACTGGGGATTCTTCCAGGTAGGTCGTGTTTTCTTTATTGGAAATTTGGTATTCACAAGAACAAATGAACGATGGATTGCAAAAGCAAATGTCAAAGCTGGGTTTGGACCAATTACTGGGGGGTAGCCAAATCCCGATTGCTTTCTCTAGGGATGGCAGAGGATCCCATTTGTTCCAAGGCACTATGTTGCTTGCACACTTTTTTTTTTGCTTTTATTAATGTTTTTTAGTTACATTATTGTCATTGCTTTGTCTGGGGACTGGAGTTTTATGTTGTGAACGTACTTTTATAGATTTGCTCTTGGAGGGAGGGAAACTAGGTAACACCATCGAATTTAGGTGCTTGAATTGGTTAAAACAAGGAACTATAACTTATGCATTTCCTGGCTTCATCCTACTCACTACTCAGTTGATATGATATGAATTGTAGAATTATCTTGTGAGTTACATTATCCACCGAAAAACAAAAAGAAAGGAAATATATTTGAAATGCTTGGTTATGTATTTGTTCTTTTCTTTTTGCAAAATTAGGTGGTAAATCATGGCGTTAGCAGTTCATTGTTGGAGGAATTCAGGTTGGAGATTGAGAACTTCTTCAAACTTCCTCATGAAGAGAAGAAGCTCCTGTGGCAACAGCCAGATAATCATGAGGGGTTCGGCCAACTCTTTGTAGTATCCAAAGAGCAGAAGCTAGACTGGTCAGACATATTCTATCTAACAACACTGCCACACAATCTTAGGAAGACCGACTTATTTGAAAAACTCCCCCTAAAGCTCAGGTATCTCTCTCTCCCTCTTCTTAAATGTGTTAAGAAAACTAGCAAATCACCTCTTGGCTTTGTGGTTATTAGTCACAGGTGATAGGCATATATGCCAGTAGGATTCAAATCCATGAAGACCTTCCCTTCCCCGTATTCATTTTGATTTGAAAAAATGGTGACAATCATTTGTGCGAATAGAACCAATGCTTTGCCATGGTTATTCAACCTGGAATTTGAGATCATTTGATTTTGCTTTCAACTTCATAATTTTGCTGCAGAGAGACCCTGGAAGTATATTCTATGGAAGCCAAAAATCTTGCTATGATAATTTTAGGTTACATGGCCAGGGCCTTAGAGATGGATGCTGAGGAAATGAGAGAGCTGTTCACCAATGGGGTTCAATCAATGAGAATGAATTACTATCCTCCATGCCCTGAACCTGATATGGCCATTGGTATCAGTCCTCATTCTGATGCTGTTGCTTTGACAATTCTCTTTCAACTCAATGAAACTGAAGGCCTGCAAATTCGAAAAGATGGAAAATGGGTCTCCATTAAGCCACTTCCTAATGCTTTTGTAGTTAACATTGGAGACGTCATGGAGGTATACTTTACTTGCTCTGCGTGGTATAATTAAAACTCTAAATTCTAAAATTCACTTGAATTTTGAAGAAGCGACTCAGTTATATGATATTTGATGCCTTAGTGAATGGAAAAAGGAAAAAAAGAAATTGTTGCTTGAAACAATCCCCCTGCGCTTGCCTTTATGCTGTTTCAAGAAAATTATACTGGAAATCCAACCTTCACAAAGATCACAGAGCATTAACCCGCCACTAGAGTCTCATCTCTAATCAGCCAAAGGGTGAATGAAACCCCTTTGACCAAACCATGAAGGCTATATAAAATGATCATTTCTTTGAACATTTCCAATCCTGTTAACTTTCTTTCAGGAGATAAATTATGTAGATCCAACATCCAAATAAAGTATCCTTTTTCACTTCCCTAGCCTGACTTATCAACTGTTTAGCAACAGGAGCTGCCTTTAGTAATCAATAGAATGCGTGGATTTTCTTAATTAACACTCGAAGACCTGAAGCTAATGTTATGTGTCAAGTTAACAATGATATTCACATTTCTCTGTTTCCTCTGCAGATTGTGAGCAATGGAATATATCGCAGCATTGAGCATAGAGCAATAGTAAACTCAACCAAAGAGAGGCTATCAGTCGCAACATTTTATAACTCCAAGTTATACTCGGACTTGGGTCCTGCACTTAGCCTTACTGGTCCGAGTAATCCAGCAAAATTTCGGCGAGTTCCTATGGAGAAGTACGTCAAGGACTTTTTTGCTCGGAAGCTGGATGGCAAGGCATACCTTGATCTCATGAGAATAAGACAAGGGGAAGAAAATTCAAATTGAAAACTTATGCGACTAGCTATTCAGCAGAAAGTACTTTATTGTGGACAATAGATTGAAATAAGTGAAGAATATTTACACTTTTAATTTTTACTCATAATTTATCCATCAATTTTTAAAATAGATAATCTGTTTTAAATAAATATTTTTTATTAGATATATAAGTCCACTCATTAAAATATTGTTAATATTTTTATTAATTTAATGATATGATAATATTAAAAAAATAATTTTATTTTTTATTAATTTTAAAAATTAACACATTATATAAATTATAATTTTTTATTAAAAAAAAAAACTTCTCGTGTTCCTTGGATGCTTCCCGTGCGGGATCACAAGTCTAGTGCTCCTTGGGGAGCACCAATCTTGGGAGCATCAGATTTGGTGCTCGTTCATAAATCCAATCGGATCTGAGTCACATCTAGTTATGTGGTGGCCGGTTAAATAGAAAATATCATCGTTCAATCTAAATATTAACATAATTTAATTATTTAGGATAGAGTGTTTATTTTATAAATTAGTAGATTTATATGTAATTATAATTAAAAGTTAAGTATGATAGTGTATTTTACCATTGAAATAAATATATTTAATTAATAAAAACAGGCCTAGTTTTTGAATTGGAGAGTCTGCTATTTTTTTTTTGTTTGCTATTAAAGGATGGTGAAAAGGAGAAGAGGTGGGCTGAAAATGTAAGGGGCAAAAACACCCTACTCGCTTCACCCGTGACCATGGTGGCTGGTGACACACCATCCACCATTCTGTTTCTTCTTTTCCTTTTCCATAATTTATGCAATTATCTTTGTTGGAAAAAGAAGAAACAGGGAAATGTGCACTGGCAAATGGCTATGTTATCTTCAGTCATGCAAAGGAGGAATAAATAAAAGAAACGACGCAGGTCACGTGTAATCTCATATTCAACATTCCTTTTCCAAATTCTCAAGCTTTCTTTTTCTTTTTCCCTCCTTTCAAAATTCCTTTTTATGGGTCCAAGCAAAGTTGATCCTCTAAGATGACAAACGTAGCCGAGATCATCTCATATTTTAATTGAGGGTGTGCTAAGATTAGTGTGGCTACTGATGAAAACCTTATCTTGCTTCGCTTGTGACAATTAAATCCTACCTGCTAACCTTCCATAACGTGGAGAAGCCATTAATATGCTAGACTCCATGCTTGTCAAATTCACAATTCCTTCTAATCACCAAAACCTTGTAGTACAGAACATTTATCAGCATTTTGTCCTCCCTTAGATGATTCTGGCAGGGTATGAACTGACAATTGCCAGTTCTTAAATCCAACCACCGTTTGTAATTAATGGGATAATATGCTCAAAAGGGGATGGCGATATGTTGACAGGCACGTTTGCATGTATTCTATTTTGGGTGAAACACAATACAAAGCCTAAACTAAAGGCTGGTCCCTAGCTCGTCCTTAATTGCAAAAATCCACCCAATGTGGTATCGAAGTTATAGCAACAAAGTTCTCTCAAATAACGCAACCCCATATTTTCAGCTTCAAAACAAAGCTTATTAGCTAGAACCCTGCCCTTTCCAGCTAAATTCGCACTGTAGTTGGTTTCTGGTCACGCATCCTACACCAGGATATATGGTTATTCTCGTATAATTTATGTTCTAAAATTTCTAATTTGTTGATCATCCCTGGCCCCCTCGTGCCATTACCTATATAAAGGAGTAGAGGACTCCCAGCAATTTCATCCACTCAATAATTACTGTCCACTCTCTCTCTCTCTAGAGATGGCAACTTTTTCTTTTCCAGAGATGCTTTTGCTTTCTCTTGTTATGGGTTCTTTCATTGCTGCATCGGCTGGTGATTTCCACCAAGAGTTTGAACTGACGTGGGGTGACGAGCGTGCTCAGATACTGGATGGAGGAAAGCTTCTTACACTTACTCTTGACAAGACCTCTGGCTCAGGCTTCAGGTCCAAGAGCGAGTATCTATTTGGAAGAATAGACATGCAAATCAAGCTTGTCTCTGGCAACTCCGCCGGCACCGTTACTGCTTTCTATGTGTGTTCTGCCTCAGTTTTTGCATTAAACTTATGTCAAAGCTACACCCTTTTTTTTCTGTTCGGGTTGCATAGTAATCCTTAATTCTTGTTGCAGCTATCATCTGAAGGGCCAAACCACGACGAGATAGACTTTGAGTTCTTAGGTAACTTAAGTGGAGACCCTTACATTTTGCATACTAATGTCTACAGCCAAGGGAAAGGGGACAGAGAGCAACAGTTCTACCTATGGTTCGACCCAACTAAGAATTTTCACACCTATTCCATTGTTTGGAATCTGCAAAGAATTATGTAAGTTAAATGTCACCTTAAGTCATAAATCTTTATAACAATTATAAAAGTTGAAGATGGTCTACAAATCCTCTCATGTTTCAACTTGTCAGCTACATGGTCGATAACATTCCTATCAGAGTATTCAACAACGAAGAATCCTTTGGGGTTCCCTTCCCCAAGAACCAGCCCATGAAGCTTTACTCAAGCCTGTGGAACGCAGACCAATGGGCAACGAGGGGCGGGCTAGTGAAAACAGATTGGTCCAAGGCTCCTTTCAAGGCCTACTTTCGGAATTTCAATGCAAACGCCTGTGTATGGTCGAATGGAGAATCCGATTGTGCGTCAAAGACATCTGGTTCTCTTATAAACAATGTTTTGCGGACTCAAGCGTTGGATGCGAGCGGCAGGAGAAGACTTAGATGGGTTCAAAAGTACTTCATGGTCTACAATTATTGTACAGATTTGAAGCGATTTCCTCTGGGTCGTCCCCGTGAGTGTAGGCGTTCTAGGTTCCTCTAAGGCAGAAACTATATTGCTCAAATTACCTTGTCAGCTATAACGCCATATATATATATATATATATATATATATAGATATATATATATATGTTGTTATTCAAGACTTTGGACATTTGTTCGACTTCATTATCTATGAGATACTGGCATTCATGGCATATGACAAATAACAAGGGTCCAAAAATATAAAGAAGAAGTCTATAGAGGATTTCTCACCCAAGAGAAATTATCCTACTTATCTCATAGCATTCATACCCAGCCATCTACATTCTTCCAAAAGTTCTTTGGTGCTGTCAATTGGGTCTAAAATCAAGCAACAGACGAAAACTTTATCATAAATAAATTTCAAAAATGGAAATAGTTGTTGACATTGTTTAATGAAGCTATAAGCCAACAATTTTATTTGGGATATATAAGTATATTGGTGACAATTAACTTTAATTTCTATGTCCTTCAGTTATTATATTTTAATATAAAGTTTACAAGTTTATTTTACTATATTATGTGAAAAATTTTTCATGAAATTTGGGTTATATAAATGAGCTCCATGATCTTCTTCAACTCCTAAGGAGTTGAGTAACCCAAAGTGCCCAATTAAGATTGGCTGGATTACGGCCCAGCAGGATTTCACCTTACCCAAGGCCTACCCTGCTTGCCAACGCTTAGGCGAGTAAGTCGTTGCCTGGTTGAGGGCCAATGACCATGGCCCCTCTTTCCGAGTAGATTTCCTCCCCTTGAAGATTTTATTTCCCATGATTTCAATTGCATTAATTATTTAATTATGTGAACCAAACATTGGAGATAGGTTCTTTCTTTCTATGAAAGTATATTATATAATGCAAAATGTAACAAAGATTCATGATTTCATTTGTCATATAACCAACAACCTGTGAGGCCATTACCTATATATACAGGCCTTTATCCCCACGGTTCAACTACAACATTTAACTCTTCCTCCTTTCAAGATGGGGAACCTGAGAGTTTCATCAATACTTTTGCTTTCTCTAGTTGTAGGTTCCATCATTGCTGCTTTTGCCAATAATTTCCATCAAGATGTGGAGATAACATGGGGCGGCAGCCATGCTCAAATACTTGGTCGACGAGGAAACCTTCTGACGCTTACTATGGACAAGACCTCAGGAGGGGCCGGTTTTGAGTCCACTAAAGACTTCCTCTTCGGAAGGTTCAACATGCAAATGAAGCTCATTGCTGGTAACTCTGCAGGCACCGTTACCACCTTCTATGTACGTCTCAATATTGCAATAGCTCCCAAATTTTGGTGCATTAAAGTAATGCAAGTATTCTATAACTTCATAAACTGCTACCAATTTGTTGTATTTATAATCTTGCAGTTATCTTCTGAAGGCCCATCTCACGACGAAATTGATCTTGAGTTCCTAGGCAACAAAAGTGGTGCTCCTTACACTCTTCATACCAATGTGTTCAGCCATGGACAAGGGGGCAGAGAGGAAGAATTCCACCTCTGGTTCGATCCGACAAAACATTTTCATGCATATTCCATTGTATGGAATCCTCAAAACATCATGTAAGAAGTAATTTATTGGTTTTAAATAGTTTTACGGTAATTATTTAAGTGTAATTTTATAATATAGGCTTAACATATATAATTACTTTTCATTTGATATGATTCAGAATCCTGGTAGATAACATTCCCATAAGAGCATTTAGCAATCAAGAATCTATTGGAGTTCCTTACCCCAACCACCAGCGCATGAAGGTCTACGCGAGCCTGTGGGATGCAGATGATTGGGCGACGAGAGGCGGGAGAGTGAAAACCGATTGGTCCAAGGCTCCTTTCACTGCTTGCTACAGAAACTTCGTTGCTAGCAACGCATGGGAAATGCAAGGGCTCAGTGCTCGTGGCAGAAAACTACTGACTTGGGTGCAAAAACGTTACAGGATTTACAATTATTGCAATGATTTGAAACGAAACCAGCGTCATGGTCGCCCACCAGAGTGTAGTCATGGTCCATCCGAGACGAGAGATAATTAATGTTGAGAGATATTAAAGTTAGCTGTATCTACGGCTTTGAGTGGGATATGTTTATCAACCTGTATTTACAGTTTTAGTGACCGCTCTTTGTTATTGTTGGATCCCCATGTCAATCCTGTGAACCTCTTTGTGTCAGAAAAATAAGATTTAATAAAATCAGTAAGAAAAAGAAAAAGCTTATTCTTAGCCCTGCCCTTGTTAACTCTTTTATATATATAAATAGCATTTCGTACCACACATGCCTAGCTATATACACAAAGAATGCTATAGATTTGGTGGATAACATTAAGTCATGCACTGGATTTCTACAGGCACGTAATATGTATAATGTGATCTTGTTCAGGAAGGAAGCCAGGGGGTGCAATGGGGGCTCTGACTTGTCAGAATTGCCTTTTGCTCTTTAAGGTTTTCTTTCATTTTTTTAATAAACTTTTTTAGTTGCCTCCCCTCCAATAATATCGTTTAACCCATTGAGTTTTTCTTTAATTTTTTTATTAATACTTATTTGACCTCTTAACTTTCTCAAATTCTTTATTTTATGATTAGGTTTTTCAAACTTTTCATACATTTTTTTACTTTTAATAATATTTTTTTATATAATTAGCTTGACTTTTTCAGTATACACTTAGTACATTATTTTTTTACGTGGTTTGTTGCTTTTTTTCCAATATAAATATAGTTCTATCAATTGCAATTTAGAAATTAAAAAAACAATTTTTTTTTTGTAATGGGAAAACACGTGTTAATTAATCACTAAGTAAAATAAATATCTCATTTCATAAGATTTTCTCTAAATAATTATTTTTATTGGATATTATTTGGATAACATTAAATACAATATTGCAATAGATGAGAGCTTTTAAACAAATAAACTTTAAGATAGTTTATCTAATTTAAAGAATATAAAGTATTTTTCTTAACTTAATTCGTGCTCTAACTTAACAAATTTCAGTCACAAAATTATAGTATTTAAACCTTTCAATCAAGGCTTTCTCGAATGTTGGATTTGATCCCCATTCTATATATATACGAGCCTTGGTGATGAATACCATCATCTAATCTTTATATATATATATATATATATATATATATATATATATATATGTATGTATGTATGGTATGCAGGGTGGAGTCTCCTTGAGCTTTGGGGGCCATGTTTCCTCAAAATTTTTAATTTTTTTTGTATTATGTAAAATTTTTAAAATTTTTAATATAATCTTTTAATGAATTCCTTCAAAATAATTTTTTATTTAATAATTAATATAAATAAAAAAAAATCTCACATGCCTCAATTTTAATTTTTTTTGTTTTCTTTTTTTAATTTTTTTTATTTTATATATTTACTAATATATTATAAGTTCTTATAGATTTTCTTCAAATTTTTACGAATCATCAATCATTTTTTTTTATTCTATCATATATGGGTTCTATCTTCTTGCCATGTTCTTTTTTTTTCTATTATATAAATTTTATTTTCTATAATTTTGATCTTTAAAAATTAATAAATTATTATGTAGCTCTCAAATATAAGTTGTAACGTTACATTGTTACTTAAAATGTCATTAGTGTATCCGTTTTTATTAATCCTGATTATGTAAGGAAAAATTATCTTGAATATATCTTTTTTATATACTTTACTATATTTAGTGAAAAGGAAATTATTTTGAATATATAGTTTTTAAACAATCTTGATTATATAAGAGAAAATTATTAATCTTGTATATCGTACTTAATTATTTATATTTTATGTATTACACTTTTATATTTAGTATTATAAATTTAAATAAAAATAAAATAAGAATACTGGAAGTTGGTTATATTTTTTTTTCAAGTTTGATTAAAGTATGAGTAAATTAAAAATAATTGATAAATTTTTTAAAAGGAAAGATGTAAAATGTTTAAATAATTCTCCTACAGTTGAACCACCAAGTCTCAATACTTCAACTCATGAATAAGAGCAATGTGAATCAAAATGTCCAAGACTCAATCTTAAGGAAATAGATGTTTTTAAATACATAATTAATAATCGATGAATTTGAATTTAAAAAATCAAGCACAACTTTCTCAAAAGCTTATTATAAGTTTTTTTTTTATTTATATGTTATATAAAATTAGTTTCTATTATCAATCTTTTGATTATTAATTAAATACAATATATTAATTTTAAAAATTTTTATCATTTATTTTATTGTCTTTGATCCCGAACAAAAATTGGGTAGCTCCATCTCCATGGTATGCACCTTGTGCAGGTATTTTTTTTTTTGAAAGATCACCATGTGCAGGTAGTTAACATGTTATATAATGCTACAAAGAATGGTGGTATTGTGTTTGGTCCTGGTGTTTTTCCCTTTTCAGAAAAGCATATTGGATCAAATTAGCTGGAAGTGAAGGTACAAGTTTCATCAAAATATATCCCAACATGGGTCTAAAATCCCCCAGGTTGGCTACTGATTAAATCTACCAAATTATCGAACAAAAACCCCAAATGATAATAGGAAAATAGCAACCACCCCTTGAGGCACGGCCTAGAAATACCGAGCAGCACATATAATCCAAATAGGCATTAATTTTGTAAGCCCTAGTGGGCATAATCAGACCTTGGGCAAAAGGGAAATTAAAAAGGAAGCTCAATAATTTAGATGCGTCAAATATTTTATGTTTATTTTCAAATTGCTTGGTCAAGTTTGTGTGACAATAAAATAATAGTCGGTGGATTATAATAGAAATTAAATTATAGATTCTTGTGCAAAAGGTTAGGTATGAAAGTGAGGTATAATTATCATTAATTAATAAATTCTACAACTATATTTAATATAATGATATTCGTAACATTTTATTTATGTAATTGTATATTATTTGTTTTGATTTTTAATTAAAAAAATGATTTGAATGGTAAGGTATTATGCATTAATTAATGAACTAAATGCTCCAATGCTTTTAACTATTAATTTAATTGTTGTAGTATACCACAAGTAATTCAATTGCAGTCGCCATGCACTCATTACAAATATAAATTCTAGCCCTCCCTCTTCCTTCCTCACTATGAGATGGATATAATCTTTTAAAGTCTGTGTAAGAGGTTATACTTCAATGCGAGAGAAACATGGAATCAGAATTAACAAAGCTAGGCAGATCCATCCCGGTTCCTTCCGTTCAAGAGGTGGCAAAGGAGGCCCTCGACCGAGTTCCACAACGATATCAGCGTCCTGATCAAGACCCTCCATTCACATCCATTGATACTTGTTCACCACAGCAAGTCCCGGTCATCGACATGCTTAAGTTGCTCTCTGGAGATCATTTCATGGACGTTGAACTAGAAAAGTTGCACTATGCATGCAAAGAATGGGGTTTCTTCCAGGTACATGACTGTGTAACCTCTCTGTCTAAAGTTGAAATAGTGTCATTTTGCCATTGAAATGTTGGTGAACCATGATTTTTTTTTTTTTACTTCTTGATAATGAGATAATGGAATTGTACTGTTACAGTTGATAAATAATGGAGTGAGCAAGTCACTGGTGGATAAAGTGAAGAAGGGGATTCAAGATTGTTCAACCTCCCGATGGAAGAGAAGAAGAAGCTTTGGCAGCGTGAAGGGGATCTGGAGGGATTCGACAGGCCTTTGTTGTGTCTGAGGAACAGAAGCTTGATTGGGGGACATGTTCTTCATGACTGCACTCCCAACTCATCTCAGGAAGCCTTACCTCTTCCCCAACCTTCCTCTCCCATTCAGGCACTCTCTCTCAAAATTCGATACAATGAAATTCTAAATTTTAAGAGTATTGCATATACCATGTGATTCTAAACCAAATCTTCTCGCATTGATTATTGGTAATTAAAAATAGTTAAGCTTAATTTTCTTTTGTTAAATTATTTTTTTTACAAATTCTTATTTCAAAAATAAGATGTGTTTTTGAATTTTTAGATACAATTTGGATGTTATTTTTGCTTCCAAAAGCATATAAAATAAAAATGTGTTTCAATGAAAAAGCAAATTATTTTTTGTAGAGTTAAAAATAGAGAAATTCTATAATATATACATATAAACAAAACGTGATATAGAATACATGCATTTTCCTTTTTCTTTTTGCCAGATATATAGATTACATTAGAATTGGCATATTGTCTATTTTAGTCATGTGGTCCTTTCATTTCCAAAAAAAAAAGAAGTCATTTTCTAATTAATTTTTATTCTAGCTTAACCATTTGCTTTCATATTTTTTTGGAGATTTCATTAAAAATTAAAAGATAGGAATTGCAACACTTTTTTTTTTTTTAAAGAGCATAATTTGTATATGCAAGTCTATAGCCTTTTGGTGAAGGCATGAAGACTTATTTCAGCGTGATAACTTCCATCGTCAGTGAGATATACACAGCATAATTACTTGAATACGAAAGCTTATTAAGTAGCTAGCAAAGCAAATATAATAATAAAACAAAGCCTTAAAATCTAAACTAATTTTGACTTTAATTATTTTTATAATCAAATTT